ATTTTTACAGTGAAAAACATTCGTATGTATAAAATAATAAAAATAACACTCATTGCATGAAAATTTATCTGTGGAGCAGGAAGCAAATAACTGCTGGTATTCATACAGTTCTCATTTCTGCATCATCAGGGCAAAACTGGATAAGTCGTATTTTGGCAAACTGAAATAAGAGCATATTCCATTAAGCCTTTAGGTCTGACAGGCTGAGTATTATTTATTAAGTTGAGAAGAAAACCATTTCCTTTTAACGCAGCATGTCGTTTTGAACATCTTGAAAAGTTAGTCACTTTTCGATAATTCTACTTGTCTGCTTACCAATTCTTACCAGTTAATATTCGTTTAGATGTGGCAAAGTTAGATTTTATCTCACCTGTAAAATAAATTGGTTTTTTATCTTATTTTACCCACCAAAATCAAAGTTATAATTGTTACGATAATGGACAATGCCCTAGGGGATAGGCATAGGGATAACAGAGGCGGCCACAAGGCTTTCTTCACCTCGACCTGGTCAGATCTATTGTGCTCTTCTATTTTTATAATTCACTGGCCAGCTTCAGGTTGTTGATCAAACTCCAAGCCTTGCCAGCAACTCCTTGTGTGTATCAAGTGTCTTGCTTGCGACTTTTCCTCTCTTAGTTGCAAGGATCTTCATCTACATAGATACTTTACAAAAACGTAAAATGTGTTGTGCAATCTCCTCTTCTTTCTCGCAAGGTATGCACAGTGTTTCTTCTGTCGGTACTCCTATCAGGTGCATGTGCCTTCTTAGGTGGCAGTGCCCTGTTGGAGTCCTGGTTCTGTTGCAGTTGCAAGGAATTCCTTGTAAGTCTTGCTTCCAAAGCCATCCTCCTATGAATTTCTTTGCATGCCTAATGCCTGGGGTATATAGTCGGGGTGAGTATCCACAGTTCTGTACCCATAGCACACTGGTGAGTCATAGTTCCTTAAGATATTTGATTAGTAGGCTCGGTTTCAAAGGTTGAATTTCTTAATAAGATATGCCGTTAATAAGGTAAGTTAATAATGATATTATTATTTCCTCCTGTGGAAAGTTTAGCACTACAGTCTGTGTGCTAGCCGTATTGGTGTTTCTTCTGCTTCCTCGCAGAATCTGCACATGAAGAATTATACCAATCTTCTTCAATGCCCAATCAGTCTGTAGCATCCTTTTAAGAATCCTGTTAGGATTTCAAGAATTTCCTGCTTCTTTCCTTCCAAAACTTGTTAGTAGGTTGTTGGATTGTTTGTGTTCAATGAGTGAAATCCACTATTGCCTCATTTTCATTTTAGCTTCTCCCCAAGGGTTCGGAATGGCAGGTGTCATATCAATCCTCAGGGTGTCAGTGTTTTTGGAAAAAAAAAACCATTTGTAAGTATGTAAGGAGTGAATGCAGGGCTGCTGGATTCAAACCCGGAACCTTTACGTCACACCGATGCCACAGAAGGACTCAGGACCTATCAGTGGTATAGCAACTCCCTTCCTTGCAAAGGGTCTGCTTTCTTTTATTTCCCTTTAATCCTACAGACCTGGGTTCCAGCAGAGAGTGACTATTTTGCATACTTAATCTATTTAATTTAATTTTGCAATTCAGTATCATTCGTGCTTGTGTTTGAGCTTAGTGCTTTGATGGCTGCAAGGCTATCTAACATGACAGCTACTATTGTTTTTGTACTCTTTGTGCAAATATAACTGAGTTCATCTCTCAATTGCATACTGGAAGATACTGACGTACTTTCTTATAGGTTCTGATAATTTAGGACCGAACCTTTGCGTTCTAGATCAGTGTACAAGCAGATGGTGCTGCCGTCTCAATGGAGGGTCTTTCCTAAATGTCAATGCATAATGCGATAAGTACGAAAAAGGCAAGATATAATTAAATAAACTTAAAAAACCCTCTAATGCAAACTGAATTTGATGAAATTTGAGCACAATAAAAAAAATCCCATAAAAATTGAATTTGTACCAACGGAATAAACTTTAATATTACATAGTCTTGAATTTTTTAAACTGCTTTTTCCAAGGGTGCAGAAATTGCAGATTGCAATTAGTAAAGGTTTTTTTCTTTTTTTAAATGTAGGTATTTCAACTATGAGGTTATATGAACCCTCAGAGTGCCAGTGTTTTCGAAAAAAAAGTTGGAATTCAGGGCTCAAAGCTGAGACCTTTACCTTACAATGATGAGCCTAAACCGTTGTGGCAACCGATGCCCCCGAAAGTTCTTTAACTCAGTGCTTCTTTAAATTTTTTTTCTCTAAATCTCAGAAAGAGTAACAAGATGAAAAATTTGTAACCAGTTCAGAGCGAAAATAGGTCAAACAGTTATAAAATGCACTATGTCCTTCCTCCACCTCTCTTAAATTACATAAGGATAAGTTGACAGCGATCTGATTGGAAAGGTCTATAATTTAAAGACCTTCTGATTTTCAAAATCAACTTTATTTCATCAAAATATAATCAAAGTTTTGATTTATGATATAGTACTTGTCTGTTTTTTAAATCTTGAATTACAGCTAAACTTCTTGCTAAGGGGCAGATATGGTGTCACCATTTTTGACCTTTTTCAGGTGTCTCTGAAGAGAGATTTTTATCTCCTCATAAATCAGCTATATATGTATAGTTGTAGGTCTGTCTAGGTCGTAGACACATAGGTCTATATTTTCAATCACTTTATCATCTTTTAAAATTTTCTCTCCTAGTGTTTAGCTAAGCTTTAGTTGGTTAATTTTCTTACTTAGGTCTCCCAAACTTTTTGTTAGTATCAAACATCCTTCAACCTTTCTTTCTTTTAAAGTTAACATTTGGTAGAACCATGTTAAAATTATAAAATTGGAAGTTAAACTGAAATCATGAAGTGAAAATAATAATGGAAAAACAATAAGATTGCATGAAAGGGAGGAGAAATTAACCGCTGGAACACTCCAATTCAATGTATCAATAATTGTAAACATAATTAGAAATTGTTTTAACACACAGAGATCATTTATGAAAAACTAATATGGTCTGTCCTGTACTCAGTGGGTTTCTGTGCTGTAGAACGATTGACTGATGGCAGAGCAACGTCCTTCTCTTTTATTTAATGATTAATAATGTACATGTACAAACATACATACAGTATTGAGCCTATCACTTCTCGCTGCTTGCCAACAATTGCAACTTTTAATTTACAATAAATTACCAGCAGGCCTCAGAAATCCATCCAGCCACCCAGGCTGTGCTCCAGATGTCAACAGCTAGTTCATTTCAGCCTCTGATCAATCGGTCTCCAAAACCAAACCCAATCACTCCTTCTCTCTTAAATACATTTTTACTTATTTACATGCCATTCACACTCCATTCCTGCATCACCCTTTACTCCTGTTATATAAAAACTAATGTATTGAGGGTTGATGGGATACGCAATATTCTGCCATTGACACTTTCATACTCCACATTCACGCTAATAAATACATTTAGTCTCAGGGTAAACAAAGAAACACAAAACAAGAAATCTATAAGTACTATGTACAGTAAACCAGTCGTGTTTCCTTTTAAAATTGGAACAGGGGCTCAAGTACTTACTGCTAGGATGGCATTCCTCCATGCTCAATGCACAGTGAAGGAATGGCACCAGTCAATCAAGTCGGACACATCGAGCAACCTTTCTCTTCATGCTGGACCACACATGAGGCTTTGGCCCAAAAGTATGTGTCTGTGTGTCATCCTCACATGGCCTAACCTTAATCAGGTGATGATGACTCTTCTTCTATGATCCTCCAAGGGCCACCTATTGGCAGGTTGATATGTACCCCTTAAGCAGAGTTGGTAAAATACATAGAAAATTAATCTTCTGACCAACTGTAAACTGTTCTGCCATTGACACTTTCATACTCCTCATTCACGCTAATAAATACATTTAGTCTGAATGTAAACAAAGAAACACAAAACAAGAAATCTATTAGTACTATGTACAGTAAACCAGTCGTGTTTCCTTTAAAAATTGGAACAGGAGGCTCAAGTGCTTACTGCTGGGATGGCATTCCTCCATGCTGTATGTATGCAGTGAAGGAATGGCACCTGCCAATCAATTTGGACACATCGAGCAACGTTTCGCTTCATGCTGGACCATACGTGGGGCTTTTGCCCAAAAGTATGTGTCCATGTATCATCCTCACCTGGCCTAACCTTAACCAGGTGATGATGACTCTTCTTCTATGATCTTCCAAGGGCCACCTATTGACAGGTCGATGCATACGAAAATTAATCTTTTAATCAAGTGTAAACTGTTCTGCCATTGACACTCATACTCCACATTCACGCTAATAAATACATTTAGTCTCAATGTAAACAAAGAAACAGACAAGAAATTCATAAGTATTATATACAGTAAACCAGTCGTGTTTCCTTTAAAAATTGGAACGGGGCTCAAATACTATACTGTCAAGTACTTCTGTCCGGTAAACTGAGGTGTCCTCTAACATAGAAGTTCCTTATCAGAGGTTTCATTGCATATTTTTTAAACAAACTTTGGGCTTACTTGCTACAATTTTTATTTTGCTTTTAAATACAACCAATGGGCAAAAGTAACTTCAAATCAATTTATGGTACATTATATATATATATTTAAAAACCTATTTATCTCAAGTCGTCATAATTATGTTTACATATAATTATTATTATTCAAAGGGGTATTTATGATTGAAATTGATTTGCCTAATTATTTGCTAGATAGCGGTCGCTCTTCCTGAATAACAATTAACCAACACAGAACACCCACTCCAATTGAATTACAATTAGACCATTAAACATTCCCCGAGCATCTAAGCAAATGTTTTTGCTGAATTGTTGGAACATTTGTTAAACACTTTGCAATTATTTGATCCATTTTTGTAAAATGTCTAATTACATTTGTTTCTTGAGCGAAATAGTGATGAAGTGTGTCTGTAAGGAAATAATACTGTATCTATGAGACAATTTTTTTTGGTCAATTTGGATTAACTATAGATTTTTTGTTTGTTTTCAGGCTGAATCGAACAGACAAATGTACAAAGCTGTCATGGAACAGGTGTCGAAATTTCTCGAAAGGGTTCAGAAAGCACTTGAATCTAGTCCAACGAAGGGACACCCGACAAGAGGAAAATCCAGGTATCCTTCGATCTTATTTTAAACAGAATGAGTTCATATTATGAATAAATTGCTCAAATTTCAACTGTGTTCTAAACTAATATAATAGCCCAATTTACTTTGATTCGGTATCAGATTAACAAACAAAATTTTTAATGAGCTTTGCAATAATCGTAAAGAAATAAGTTCATCCCCTCTCGCAGATCCAGATCCATAAAAAAAAGAGATATTTAGTTAAGGTCTGTTTCACGCAGAGATTGGTATGAGATATGCAGTACTGATAATTAGTTGACATAAAAAGTATCACGATAGCTAGATAACTTCTATTTTGCTTGTGACAATTGACAAACACATAAAGGTATGATTGTTACTGCCAAGTTTTTGGCCTCTTTTAAGGTCATCATCAAGGCAAAACAATCTAAAATATGTCTACAGATTGACATATTTAAGTTTTTCTACAGGCAGTCTCAAATTTCCTCGAAGACCGACTCAGTCCCAACATTGCCAAGGACTGTAACGAAAAAACTTAAAACACCTAAAAAACATAAATATGTCAATCAGTAGACATATTTAAGATTGTTTTTCCCTGATGATGACTTTAAAATAGGTCAAAAGCTTGGTATAACAACTGAATTCGCTTTCTTTTTCAAGAAAATACCTTGATCCAGAGTGTTCGTGAATGAAAAGTAGTTGATATTTCTAATATTGAAAAAGATAAAAATTTCTACAATACACAAACATCATTTTTAAGAAAAGTTTAAAGAAATAATTAACACAGTGGGTACCTAATTTAAAAAAAAGCTGGATTCGAGAAGCATTAACATATTGATAGATATGTAATTTGATCATTTCTGATCATCCTGGTCTGTCTGTTCTCACTGCTTTGCTATGTCACTAAGCGAATTTCAGAATTTTTGCGAATTTAGCATTGCCGTGGACAATACTGTCAAAACGAGTATCGAGATATAAAAACCCACCTTGAAGATGGAAGGCAATATGCTCAAACAGTCATACCTCCAAATCAAGAAAGACGTCTGCCTAGACCAGGATGATCGGAAGCATCCATATCACAGACTTGCCTCTACAAAAAATTGCAGTTTATATTTTTAAATGTTTACAGTTTACTTATTTTGCTTGAGCATAAAATAAATTTACTTATCGTATTACAATAAAAAAAAATTTACAAGCAATTTAAGTAAACTGCAGTTTACTCTGATGGAGAAATTTAACGCACCATTAAAATATTTAGTTTAACATTATTTTTTATTAAATTCACTAATTTCGTGATCCGCTTGACCAATTAATATATTACAATTAATTAAGGTTTTTAGTTGAGATAAAAAAGTCAGTGTCACGAGCGGGATTCGAACCCACGATCTTCGGCTAGATACGCCATTGCTCTACCACTTGAGCTATCGTGACCTCATTCCACTCGGTCACCAACTTCCCATCTCAACCTCACCTTTTGAATTTTCCCTCCTTTTTGCCATTTTTCAAAATTTCATTATTTTTTATATTATTATTATTTGTATACAATAGTTACAGGTAATTAGGAGCTATCATAGTCAAAATAAACAGTAAATAATGCTCTATTAACAACGCAAAAGATTGCTTTCTGTTAATATTTTTCCTTCGTTAATTTGATTTGATATTATTCTTATTCTTAAACTTTTTTGATGGCTCCAGTCAGGCATTTGAGTGAGTATGATGGTCAGGGCCATAACAGTATGGCCAGTCAGGGCCATAACATTATTAGAGGATACACCCAGTGCAAAAAGTCACCAGAAGACTGAGTGTAAATAATTCTATAATAGGATTCTTTGACACTACAGAAAAACAGGGCTTCACACTAAAAGGCCAGGACAGGATCGATCTAGGTCTAGACAAGAGAGAGAGACTAGAGATTCATCTGTCATCAGGTTCTACACAACAACAGCGTTACAGAAAATTTGATAAGAAATCTGATTCGACAAGTCCGAAATGTTTCGATTTTCTCCAAGACTGAAGAAGAAGGCTCAATGAAAATAACTGCAGGGCCTGGCACCCAGCTCGTGGACCTCTTCTTACCACAGCTCAGAAAATGGGCAGGCTTGAATTCACATTGGAACATGTGAATTGGACATTGGAAAATTGGTGACGAGTTCTGTGTAGAGATGAGGTGAGATTTGGCCTCAAATCTTCAGATGGGTGTAATTTCATATGGGCTCGGGAAAAAGGTACTTCTCATGTTGTATGGTTCCTCAGGTGGCATTCTACGGTGAGTCATTTATATTCTGGAGAAGCATTTTCTTGGATGCCCGCACCAAATTGATTGTTGTGCAAAAAAAAGAACATGCAGTGCCATTTGCCACCCACATCGGTGAGTGATTTTTGGTAATGTAGATAACGCCAAGCACCTTAGAGCATTTATTATGGATGACTTACTGAACGTGGTTAGAATTTAAGTGCTTGATGTGGCCAGCTCCAAGTCTAGATTTGAACTCATTTGGGACCATCTTAAGCGACTAGTACAACAGGGACCCCCTCCCCCCTACCGGGTTGAAAATAGCTGATCTTGAGGAATGGAAAAGGATTCCTCAGGATTTTATCAGAGATCCTTTCCAAGGAATGCAAAAGTGTTTAACGAGTGTGATTCATGCCAGAGGTAGAAATACTCGGCATTAGAGAGATAATTTTTTTTTGTTTGTTCTTTACTCAATTATTATTTATTTATGTTTTAGAATTAGGTAATAAACATTTTCTTTTTAAATGTCTTATTTTTGCACAAACATAATATATTAAAATTTAAGGATGGTGTGTTTCTTTTATCCGTCAGTGTAGTCAGAACAGAAATGAAATATCTTGTTACCTCAAAGCTTTCGTATCTAGAACGTATCGAGTAACAAAACATTCCAATCAGTTTTTCATATGCTTGCATGTTTCGCTTTCATTTCATTTTAACTTCCGTCTAATCATACATCTTACCAATCTTCTCCGAGTGACTCAGGTCCATAGTGACCGGATGACTCAAGAAGTGAGAGAGAAAATCACAAATTTTAAATACAATTTTCAACGTGGTGTTTATCACGATGTGAAATTATATTGATCGTGTAATAATAAACATCAGACACCATGATATTTTTGTTTCTCATTTTAATTTTTCTTCCTTGAACTGCAGGGTTCCTAGAAGCAGGAGTGTACATACTGTTGTAACTCAGAGCCGAGCTTCATCACCTTTACCTTGTGCGGCGTCAAGTGTCCATAGGGCGAACAGCATATCCCAGATTCAAGACAGCTACACAACATTTCGTGACCATGCATGGTGAGTAGATTTATAATACTGTTTATACGTAACAACTAAACCACTGATGATTTGTGAATTGTCAATTATTATCGTCATGATGAACTTACGACATTCCTCTCTCAAACTTGTCATTTTAGTTAAGGCTAAAAATATGAATGGATATGTATTCTTAACTAACTTTAAGCAAAAATGAGTTGTTGAGGTTTGAACTGGCGATAGATTTTTCATTTTAACAATTTATCAATTTGTTAGATTATTTGTTATCATCATGACCATGATTTCATATTGAGAATGCATGAGAATGTTTATTGGATTCAGGCTAGCTTCTTGTAGAAACAAAAAAATACTATAGTTTAGACAGTACTAACAACAAATTCCTAACAGTTTAAGGTATCGGTGTTTTTTGAAGAAAAAAAGAAAATTGTAAGTATGTTGGGTTTGAATGCAGGGCCGCTGGATTTGAACCTGAGACCTTTACCTTACAGTGATGAATGCCATGTTAACACCTAAACCGTTGTAGACACCGATGCCCCCATTAGTTCATTAATAACTAGTAGTTTATAAGAAGAAACTAAATTTTATTCTGGGGGTTTGGGCCTCCTTGAATAACAAAAAAGTGCACAATTTGGCCCAATTCGTGTCACATGCATAAACACGTCTACACATTTGAGCCTACCATTTCGGGCAGCCCACTGGTAATTCTAGCTTTTATGATTTACAATAAATTACTGGTGGCAGGCTTTGAGAATCACCGACCTCAGATGATGGCAGTCTGGGGTCAGACTACGTCTTATCCATTCAGCCATTGAGGATGGGCTCCAGGGTCTCTATAACTAGGTCAATTCAGCCCCCATTCACACTCTCACTCACTCTTAAATTTCTTTTCTGTTTATATGCCATTCACTCATTTAGGGCGGTTAGTATTTGATATTCCTATTCTTTACACATATTGAATAACTAACTTAATTGAGGGTCGATGGGTATTGAATATTTTTCCACCGGCCTTCTGACACTACACATTCACGCCAATAAATACATTCACTCTCAACACAAAACTATCAGTATCATCAACCCTGTCTCCTCCAATAAAAACTGGGGGCCTAAATACTCACTGCTGTACCAGACCTCCACTGTCAGTTACACACACAACACCGGCCCTTATCAGGGCCATCTAACCTCACTAAAGTGTGAACCCGTGTGATGTCTTGGTAACTGTAGGCATCATAAGCTCCTCGGTGTAGATTTGTTTTGTATGTCTGAGAATGAAATAGACTCTGCCCAAGGCATATTTAATATCTCTTTGAAGAAGCTAGTCACAACAGATTTAACACTAATTTTCTAACCTGTTTAAAAAAAAAATTCTGAATGAACACTGGAATTCCAGGAGAGCCAACAGAGCGAGCTCAGAAGAAGTATCATCCGAACGATTGTCCCAAGAAGCCTTCAGACTTTTACGAACAGTCCAGTCTCTTCTCAGTACTAGAGAGCCAGATCTTGCCGGTGTTTCAGATTGTACGGCGCAAAGAGACAATAATTCTGTAAGAACTACAAATTAGTACTTTTTTAAATTTTACTTTTTTTTAAACAATCATTTTTATTTGAAAGAAGGGTAAGGTATAGAAATTAGATTTTTTGTTTTGTTTGTTTTTAGATGGGGAGTTGCAGTTCTCTTGTTCAGAGTACTTGTTCTGGGACGGTCAGAGAGGCGGAGGACAATAAAAGCGGTGGCCCAGCAACTCCTCAACTCAGCGTCGGTTCGACTGAGGACGAGAGCGGTTTCTCGTCCATGAGTTCGTTCCATGACGTAGCGGCCGAGCTGCGCGGTGGAACCGGCTCTGTAGGCGCCGAGGGATCTCACCACGAACTCGGCCTGCCGCTAGTAACTGATTCGCACAGACATCGCAGGTGGTCCTCGACGCCGATCGACTCCGGCTATCGACAGCCCATCAGAGTCCTCTGGGTCTGACAATCTGCATATCAAGCCACAATTTAACTATATCTAACAATTGAATAAAAAAACATTAATTTCATTCTTTAATTGTTTAGGGGGAAGCGTTTTTTTGTCAGTTGGGTGTTTACATTTATTCAAATGAGTGAACGTTCTTTTATATTTTTTGTATAAACTGTTGAATCAGTATAATTATTTACATTTATAATTATTTACAAAAAAAAAAAAAAAAGCAATCGAATTGCAGTATTGTTAGTATTTATCCAATTCAGCTAAAAAATGAACAACTTTTATTAGATACATTATTGTTTTTAAATTATTATTATTATTTACTATATATTTATTATGTAGAGATCCCATAACGTTCATTCATTTGAAAATTATTAGATATTTAATTATTGTAATATCAAGTAAGCCTTCGTGCATGTGAGGCAATTGTGATTTTTCATTTCCGCTTAGTTTATATTTTTTCAAGTAGTAAAGTTCCATTTTGCTTCAATTTCATTTTTTTCATCTTTGTAAATCACAAGACTGCAGGCATGCAGTTTTATCCTCAGGTGAACTTTATTAACAAAGTAATCTTCGAAGTAAAACTAAATTGAGCTCAGCATGTCTAACCTTAAGTTTGTATTCCTCGCCCACTCAAAAAACAACATTTAAAATCTAGAAAGTAAGACAAATCTATTTATATTTAAATCCCTATTAGATATTTTTATAGTACCCTTTTTTTAATAATTTACCTTTACCTTAACAATTTAACTTCAATTAGGATATTAAATGTTTCAGAGCAGAAAGGGGTCAGGATTGGAGGTGCCAAACTCTGCGTACAAAAAGACAGTGCCTTCCTATCCTCATAGTAATAATATTAATAATAAATACGAGTATATGCAGACTTGAAAACCCTGACATTGAGACTATTGTTGTTAACAATAAGTGTTTCATAAAGTATGTGAATAACAATTTGATTTAGGTATAAAAAATAGTTATACCTATTAAGTTTACTTATTATTAATTTAAGAGAGGTCAAATTCTTATGAGAACTTGCACAATTAAATGCTTTACTTGACAAAATTTATATTTTTTATTGTGTAAATAATTGTTTCCATCTCTTTGAACAATTTGTTTATAATGTCAATAAAAAGTGTTCTTTTTCTCTCTTTTAAGTAATAATGTTTTTACTGACTTTCACCTATCCATTTCCTTAAATTTATTTGGTCGTTATCGATCATGTTGGCCTACCTATCCTAACTGGGTAGGCAGACCAAAGTGATTACGACCAAATTAGCAGGTTTATCACCCTGCAGACCAAACAAAGAAATATCTCAGTAACTTGTAAAGAAAGGGATGATGTATTATTGTCGCATTTTCTATATATAATACTCGGAATAATTTCTATTACAGAGATAACTAAAAAGAAACACATTTAAGTTTCAGGCTTAAAGCTCATCATCAGATTGAAGGAGTTACACACACGTCTCTTGACATGAATTGTAAGAGTGACCTCCAATGCATCACGATGCTCCAATGAGAAGCTGGTTTTAATGCCGTTCAATTTTGAACGTGTGAAAAACATGAACTAAATATTATCCTTATAATTGTTTGGTTCAGGTGGCACTGAAAGCATTTACTGAAAATTTGGCAATAAATAAATCCTGGCATCAACTTATATTGCGCAAAAGTATCATGCTGAGAGATTTAATTTAGAGTATTTACAGCAGAGTGTTGCACGATATTGTGTTAAGGATATAAGTTCACTAATTTCGTGGTCCGCTTGACCAATTAATACATTACAATTAATTAAGGTTTTAGTTGAGGTGAAAAAAAGTTAATGGCACGAGCGGGATTCGAACCCACGATCTTCGGCTAGATACGCCGCTGCTCTACCACTTGAGCTATCGTGACCNGAATTTAATGAATTAAATGAAGTACACTTCACTAAAGCTCTCCGAGGCCATTTCATTTGTCGTCGAGAATCCAATCCGATTACACGACATTTGAAAAAATGGCAAAAAAATGAGGGAAAACTCATAACGTGGGGTTGAGATAGGAAGTTGATGTCCGAGTGGATCGAGGTCACGATAGCTCAAGGGTAGAGCAGCGGCGTATCTAGCCGAACATCGTGGGTTCGAATCCCGCTCGTGCCATTAACTTTTTTTTCATCTCAACTAAAAACCTTATTTAATTGTTATGGATATAAGGTTTGAAGTTACTATCAATTTGACACCGTTGAAAAGTTACAATGGTTTTTTGGTTGGAAGGTCTTTCGCCGATCAGCAGCCATGCCAAATTATTTAATTTACTTACTCACCTCATGTGAACTCCTTTTTATTTACACCTTGATGCTACAATTTTCTTTACTTTTAAAACCCTTATGTCTTTAACCTCTTGCTGTGGCATCAGGTACATCACTGACAAAAGAGCAAGAATGACCATACACATACAACATAACATCTAGAGATTTTTGATCGATCAATGAAATGTGGCTAGAGCTATAATTTAGCATAAAAATGAGTAATTTGCACATCAAAGCTGAATTCACTCTAGTAGCATAGGGGGAATGAGTGACGACACTTTTTTCCAATATACCACCCACCCTGAGGCCAAGGAAGGGTATTAGATATGGGCTGACAAAAAACTAGTGGTTTCAGCCTTCTTCACAAAAAATGAAAAATTATATGGTTTTTCTTTCACGCATCTCACTGCCTAATATTTTTCTCTTATTTTTCTTAATTTTCTAACCTCTCGCTGTTCCATCAGGTTCATTAATAACAAAAGAACAAGAATAAAAATATACATACAACATAACATCTAAAGATTTTCGGTTGATCATCGAAATGTCGCCTCAGTTGTAATTTAGCATAATAAAAATTATCAATTTACACATCAAAAGCTAAATTCACTCCTTGGAACCATATGGATTGAGTATAGGAATACCGACTGATATAAGAGTTGTTCTAGAACATGGCAGCATTTCCAAGAAACAGTTTTGTTGTATATAGCTTTGTGCTTTGGGTCCTCTAGTGTGTGTTGATAGTGAATGTATTTATTTGCGTGAATGTGTACTGTGAGAGGGCAGTTGCAGGAATATTTAGTACTCCACTACCCTAACTGAGTGAATGGCTTGTAAATAGGAAATAATGTATTTAAGTGTGAATGGATTTAGATCTAGAAACTGATTGCGCTGGTGGATGAAATGACTAGCTGTTGATATCCCCTGGAGCCCTGGCATGGGTCCCTGGACATTTGGGGCAAGAGGCAACAAAAAGGTTGATAAGTTGGCTAGAACCCTACTGCGGCCTAGCAGCCTGCCACAAAATTGGATATATCTTAAAATGGATCCTTGATGAATCCAAAACCTGGTGGAACAGTACTGCAGGTATGAGGCACGCGAAAGCAACCGCAACCGAACCAGGATTCTGGCTGGACTCCTGACGGTGTACTACCACTTAAGAAAGTACACCGTATAGGAGTACAGACAGAAGAAATACTGTGCAGATACTGCCAGGAAGAGGAGACTGCAGAACACATTTTATGTTTATGTTGTAGGTGCAGGTTCTTGCAACTAGGACAAGAAAAACAACAAGCAAGGACACTAAGGAACTGCTGGCAAAGCTGTGGAGGCTGGTTAATAGCCTGAAGCTGGCCAGTGAGTTATAAAAAACAGGGGAGCACAATAGATCCATTCAGGTCGAGGCGCAGCCTTGTGGCCGCCTCTCTTATCCCTATCCCCTGGATCCCAACCTCAGTAGCTGGGCGGATAAGGCAGTCTGACCCTGGGGTGCCATCACTTGGGGTGAGTGATTCTCAAGGCATCCTCGTAATTTATTGTAAATCAGAAAAGCTGACAGACTGCAAGAAGTGATAACTCTGTACTGCATATGTCTGTAGGTTTGAGCTTATCAGTAATCAGTAAAAGCTGAATTATTGGAAATAATTTTTTAAACAAATCTTTTTTTGTAAGTTTTATATTTAAAAATAAACAAAAAATAACAGGTAAATAACATATACAATTCTCAAAATACATATTCCCATTCCCATTCATGAAAATGAACAGTGCATAACAAATACAAGTAAAGCCTTTATGGATCCTATGTATAATATGCTTTTTTTGTGTGAAATTTAAGAAATATAGTTGTAAAACAATTAATTACTTTAATAAATAATTCATACCTTAAATTTCTCTTTACTTTACACAATAATCGTTATGTTTTGTTATTTTATGAATATAACAAAATTAATTTTAAACCATTCACAATTTGCGATATTACAATAAAAATCATATACTTGATCAATTCCATAGCCGAGATGGTAAAATGACACGCCTATCGGATATAATCAATATTATAGAAAAATCTGTGCACTTTTAATACAAGAAAGGGAGATTTATAAAGATTTTTTTTCCTGGACAAAAACATGAACGTTTTAAGTATGATAAACTCTACATTTAAAAGTGGTAGCTTATACTACTACACATTATAAATAATAAGAACAAATCACAAAAAAATATCAATTGATAAGGCGAGAAAATATACACACTGAATATACAATATATCAATTGATTTAACTTAGGAAACATAACAAATTTGTACAACAAAAATGTATTTGTATAGGCACAGAAATATCTCTGGTGATTTTGTCCAAATGTAGTAGTTGGCATTAGTGACTTTTTCATTTTTTTTTTTTTTTCAATTCTTAATTATGGTAACTTTCAGTCACCTTCAACACAACAAAGATTTCAAAGAACCTTTTGTTATGCAGGCTTCTTTTTTCTAAATAAATTGATAAAATAATGGTTGTTCTTTTAAGTACAAATTAATAACACAGACTTTTTGAATTATCTATGTCAAACTATGTATAAGCATGGTACTTGCATAATTTCTGAGGTAAATCGAATTTACAAATTAACATAGGACATACTTTGTGCTCAGTATACAAAAAAAAAAAAATAAAATAAAATAAAATCCTCTTTAATCCTAAACTTGTGGCAATCCTCTCGTTTTGTTTTTTAATTAATGTTTTTATTTTATCAATTAAAAAAAATGTAATATATTTATACAACAAAAGCTATTAGCATTTCTTTTCTACTTATTAAATTCTATACATCAAATGACATCGAACATACAATATTATTTTAAAAAACAATATTTTTCAATACAATATTTTAGTTGAAATACATGTCTGGTAGTGTACACAAAATCTAAAAATCTTAGAGTAATGTTTAAAAAATAATTGCACAAAATCCAAATTTCAAAAATAAAATCAAAAAGCTCAAAAAAAAAATTCTTCAATTGTGAAGCCATAGAACGATTTGCTGTACACGACCGACAGGGGTCTTAACTGTAAAATATTGACAAAATGACAAATTCAATTGTATAGAAAACCAGTTTTGAGATGCGGCGACAAAAAGAAAAGTACAAAGATAATTTTCTAGATATCACAATAAATATAGGTTAAAGGAAAATCACAGCCCTGGCTTTATAACGCCTGTGTACTCCATCTCGTTCTATGTTTCACAATAAAAAATGTTTTATTCAAATTGATTATTAACAATATAAATTTGTAAACGCGAATTTTTCTGTTCTTATAAGGGTTTTTTTTTCTTCCTAAGGGTAACACTGAAACCAATACTGTCTACATGCAATTAATTGAAATGTTATTTTTTTTCTAAACTATCAGAACTACTTTACAAGTTTGATGAAAGTTAAAATTTATAATTGTCAACATTCATAGAAGAAAAAATTCATCTGGGAAACAAAAAATATAAAGAAACTGATTAAAGTCTCTACATTATAGTGAGAACAAAAAAATTATTTGTAATAAAAGGTATAAGAAGGAATGTTTAAGTGCCAATATCCTTGCGCTTACTGTGAACTTTTAATTTTATCGGCAAGGTTCAGTCCACTTTGGTAATTTGGTAAGTGGCGCTTGGAGATCGATGTTTGACGAAACATTCTTGAAATGCAACATCGTTTTTTTTTTCTTCTGGTTTATTTGTTGTTGTTGTTATTGTTCTGCAATTCAACCGTTCACTGAGATTCATGACGACATTTCGTGTTCTACCTGGGGAGGGACACATTTATTTTTTTTTTTCACTCTGTCCCAGTCAGACATGTGCCACTTACAAAAAATGTTATATCTCATTGGTGAATTTAGACAGCCTGTCTCGTAAAGCGATGTTCTCCTTCTTGAGACGGTCCATTTCCTGGCGTAGACCCAGGTTCTACAAAAACAAAATTTGGTTGTTAAACTTTAATTGAATTATTTACAAATCAGCCTGTTAAAACAATTAATTAATTTGTACTTATCACATAATCATAAAACTTTTATTATTGTTATTTACAATTGCAACTTTAGTTGGAGTAAGTAAATTTGATAATTCATAGCATAACAGGATGGTGGTGACAGACCCTCATACTGTTTACATACGCACATCGCTGAAGCAATCCCTAGGCCATTCAGTCGACATGGATGATTTCTAGGTAGGGCGTGGAATGTTCTTGGACGAGGGTTTTGGGTGTACAGGTTATTTTTTTTTTATATACGAGAGTTCGCAACAGCAGAGGTCATATAAACCCTCAGGGAGCTGGTGTTTTTGAAAATTGTAAGTATGTCGAGCCGCTGGATTCGAACCCGGGGGGACCTTTACCTTACAGTGATGAGCGTCATGTCAAAGACTAAACCTTGCGGCCACCGACGCCCCCCCCCCAATACAGGTTATTGTGGAATTTCTGATGTGTTCTGACAAGATTGTTAAAGAATGGAATATGGAAGTAAATGTGAATGGTTTTAGCGGAGATGTGGAAGGGAGCATTAAGGATTTTTCTTAGGATTTTGGTTCGGAGAGAGTGGATATGGGATGAATTTGAATGTTCGGTTGAGCCCCAAACTTCCACTCTGTAGGTCCATATCGAGTGAATGACTGTTTTATAAATGGTTAGTTTGTTGTGGGATAGGTGAGATCTTAGAGTAGTCTCTAAGAGTTTGTGATGGCGGTTCATGTCGTTCCAGGCGTGTGTTCCCAGTCCCAGGTATTGCACTATGTCCGCAATCGGTTTCAGTATGTCATTCAGTTTCTAAGAGAGGGTGAAAGTGACTTGAGCTTTTGTTCACTTTGTTTCTCCATTTAAGGTAGTCTTCTAACAGCGTGAGATGACTGCAGATAGGAGTTTGCCGTGTCGTTGGCAGATGTGGAGATGACTGTGTTTGGCGAAGTATGAATGTCAGCAGTGTATTTTGTAAAGAAGATCGGGTCAAGGATACTTCCTTGAGAAATATATTCTTAGGATTTTAGATCGGAGAGAGTGGATATGGGATGAATTTGAATTTTTGGCTGAGCCCCAAACTTCTAACCCGAAGGTCCATATCAAGCGATTTATAGTTTTATAAATGGTCAGTTTGTTGATGTGGGTTAGGTGAGATTTTAGAGTAGTCCCAGTAAGAGTTTGTGATGGCGGTTCATGTCGTTCCAGACGTGTGTGTTCCCAGTCCCAGGTATTGTACTATGCAGTAATTGGTATCAGTATGTCATTCGGTCGTATAAGAGGTCAAAGTGATTTTATTAGGGCAAAATTTTTTTCTATTTTCTCTTTGCGAGTACCAGACTTCTAACAGCATGAGGTTACTTTGCAGATAGGAGCTTATAACGGATGGGTTGGAGTGACAAGACAGGATAGCCATGTCATCGGCAAATGTGGATGTGGCTACTTTCCCCTGTGTTTGGGGAAGTAGTATGTCATCAGTGTATATAAAAAGGACCAGGCCAAGGATACTTCCTTGAGAGACTCCAGATTTTACTCGATTATAAGAGGAAAGAAATTCATACAATAATTAATTACACTACATAAAATTAAATATTTTATATAATCTGTTGATATTCCTTAATTATAAATTATTATAAAAAAAAATACCTCTTTTTCGAGGAAGCCCGCTCTAAGAGCGATTTGGTTTTCTTTCATCCTCCTTGCATCTCGTGACCTCTTTGCAGCCATGTTATTTTTTCTACGTCTTGCCCAGTATTTTTCATCTTTCAGTCCCTCGGGAACGAACTGTGAGTCCAGCAGGACGGATAAATAAATTGCATATAAACCGTTGTTATAGTTGATTTGATAATAAAACTAATATAGCTATAATTTTTACCAAATTAATTCAAACCTCAGTACTTCTTAGTATTACCATCGAATGGATTAAGATGATTCTAGTACAATTGAAATGTACAAACTACAAAATAGTAAACAATTTTAAAAATTCACAAAAAATTGTGTTTAAATTAAATTAATCCATATTTGCTTAGTGGTCATAATTGACCACATTAATTAATTTAAATAATTAAGTAAAAACAGTTTAAGTATTGGACATTTTAAATAGATTAAAAAAAATATGTTAAGTTTTAAACAGAATAAAGTAGTTTTGTTATGAATGGATAACTTTCAAGCAAGAAATTTGTATTTTAAAATTTTTAACATGAAATTATCAATTTTTTGAGAATCGTGCAAAAACATCAAACCAGAATTTAATTTCAAATTATTTTAATGATCATCTAAAAATTAATCTAATTGTTACTATTTTGTTATTGTTATTGATGTTTAGTTAAAGATAAAAGTTCCCTCAATCTGGACCTACAGAAAAAAATCTCTTTTGAAATTAAGGATATTTCAATTCACCTGCTTTCTTGATTTTTTCACCATTGGCTGAGGTTTAAGTTCTTCATCTGAAAATGCCCTTGTCCTTGGATCGAAGGCGTCCCTACTTGACGAAGCGAATGACAATGCTGAATTAAAAAATAAATAAATAAAAAATACGATTAGCAATGGGATTTTTATTTTAGAATAATAATTATATTTATCAAAATGTTATTTTTCTTATCTATTGTCCTTGCCGGTTACAACCTATCATAATGTCAATAATACTATCCTTTGAAATGTTGTCAACAATGGGATTTAATATGACTCACTCGACTCGGCTGGCGAAGGCGGGCTGATCGCAAGTGGGCTCATTGCTTCACTGGGGCTGGGCGATGGCTCCCTTTTGGTGAGGACGGGGGGCTGCGTACTACTGCTAGGTGACATCCTCCCGGGCTCTTTGATGCACCCTGAGCTGGATGCTTGTGGGGGGTGCTGCGTGGGCTGTTGTGCTTGAAGGCCGCCTTCCACTGGGATGCCATTCTCTGATAGAAATTCATCCAAATCGACATACTGAAATCAAACCGCTACCATGTAATTTACATAAGCATATTGTGTTTGTGAGAAAGATTGAGTGTGTGTGTGTGTGTGTGTGTGTGTGTGTGTGTGTGAGAGAGAGAGAGAGAGAGAGAGAGAGAGAGAGAGAGAGAGAGAGACAGAGAGAGAAATTTTTGATAGAAAAACTTGCCTACTTATACACATTATCAAAATGATAAGAGTCATAAAATAAAAAAAGCGTTTCATAAAAGATAACGTTGTTAGGCTGTTTTGACATGATTCAACATTCAGTCCTTCATGTTGTAAGCTCAAAACTAAAAAAAAAAATCACTTAACTGCAACATCTTTGTTATATCAAGTTTTTTTGTGTGCTTAAAATTACTGTATTTGCAAGCATTAATCATCATTTTTTAACTGGAATATACTGGGTATTGGTGGAAATATATAAGTAGAAAAAGTGAGAGATTGTGAGACGGAGGAGTGACAGTGTAGTTATAGATGGGAAAAGAGAAGTAGAAGGAGATAAAAATATAGAAAGAGAAGATAAAGATAGGTTAGTAACAGGTAAAGAAGAGAATGGACCGTTTCTTAATATACAATAAATGAAACAAGAAACCCACCAGTATTATTATTAAAACACTAACACATAAACACACAGATAGAAAGAGATATTACGTAAAAAAAGGTTTTTCATAATATATAATATTGTTAGGTTATGCCATGTTTCCACCCTCATTTCTTCATGTTGAAAGCTCACAACTAAAAATAATTTTAGTAGTTTGTGCTTTACTATTGTTTGGATTTTTATTGATTAAATGATCTGTAAAACTGGATGTTATTTTAATCTTATTGTCCCAACGATAAAATATTTAACCATTAATCAAACTGGCACATTCCTCGTTCTAGATTTTTGTGTTTGCATAAAATTGTTATATTTTCTATGAATTATGATCAGTTATGATTATATTGGACTGGTATATACTCACTTTGAGATCTGTATCATAAGGTAATGTTTTCTCCCAAAGGTTAGGGCCGAGGAATGCAGCCTGCGCTTCAACATTGCTCCACAGTTCTGTCTCTTCTTTCTTCTCGGGGCTTTCTTTTCCGCACGATTTTCCTGTAACAACATCTGCGTTTAATTAGCCAGGAAGAAACTTGACATAATTCATAATAAATCTAAAAAAATTATATTATTTTTACACATTTTTAAAAAATTCACAATGAGTGACAAATGCTCAATTGGATATCAAATAAACAATAGTGGATTATAAAAGAATGTTATATGTTTTGTGAGTTAGCAAATTTGAAGGAAAAACAATATATAAATAATTTTAAAGCGCATTTTTTTATTATTATTAATAGCTAGACATGAATATCTGTAAAGCACATGTTAACAGAAAGTGTGGAATCAGCGCAGTAAAGTATAAGGTGGGCCTGCCTGGATATTTAAATAACTTCTAAGGTGCAGCAGTTGTTATAATAAAAAATTGATTCGATACTTAAAGTAGATAAATGTATAAGGCATATAGCCTTTTCATACATAGGCTCAAATAATTTCCTTAATTTGAGTGAGTGTATTTATTAGCGTGAACAATAGTTGTTTGGGTGTGTTTGTGAGGGAATATTGAGTAACAAACCAAAGCAGTCTAGGTTATTTAGTCATATATTTTTGTGGCATTGCTGGTGGGTAACCTCAATAGGATCAGGATTCTGGTTGGACTCTTGACAGGATACTGGCGCCTATGAAAGCACATGCACCGTATAGGAGTTCAGAGACAGAGAGAAAAAAAGAGAGAAAGAGAGAGAGAGAGAGAAAGAGAGAGAATGAGTGAAAAAAAACCAATAAGGTCACAGATTTTTTATAAATCTGCCGCTTGAATTAATGGAGGTTTGATGTTAACGTATTGTTAAATAAATTTACACATAATCCAAAATATAAAAACTACAAATGTATAGTACCAATAAGAATTTAGGGAAAAATAGTAATAATAAATAATACTCTGTCTCCTGCAATGTTGTGGACTATGTTGGTTCTGTTTGGAGGGAGATGAGTTGTTTGTAAAGGAGGGATTTAAGAGAGGTTTGCGAATTTGGAAAGGAAGACAATTCCAGAGATTTGTGGCTCCAGCTAGGAAGGATTGTCCTAATGTGGAGGTTTTATTTTACTTATTATTTTATGGCAAGGAAGGTGTAGGTCACTCGGAGAAGAGCGGCTTAAATAGTGGGTAGAAGATTTGAATTGAAGTAGCCGGAAAGCATAGTGAGGTCGATGACTATTTATGGATTGGAAAAGGGAGTTGCCTAGGAAATATTTCCTACGGAGGAGGGATAAATCCAGGCAACAGGCAGACGAAAGATCGTGCAGATATGCCAAAGGAGACCGCAGAATATATTATATGTTTTTGAGATGGTCTATTTAGTTGTAGTTCTTGCAGCCAGGGAAAAAAAACCCACAAACAAGATCATAAGCTGAGGAGCTCATAAGCAAGGCTATGGAGGTTGATTAACAATGCAGTGATATATAAATTTAGATGAGAAAAGGGCCTTTTGTCCCTTTTATCCCCATATTTGCAGTACTCAAGTAATATCAAAAACCCTGGTGATTACCAATTGTGTGAATGTATTTATTCGCGTGAGAGGTTAAGTGTGTATGGATAGGTTTTGTTGGAATATCAAGTGGATACTTGATTTATTGTGTGAATGTATTTATTGGCGTGAACGAAAGGATGGCATCAAGGTGAAGATCGTCTTGCCAGGCTCCAAACCGTAGTTGTAGGAGTTCTCAGCAGTATATCGAGGACTCTTGAAACCTAGCAACCTTGGTTAGATAATATTTTAATTAGCAAGAATGTGCATTTTAATTGAATATTGTAATCAAGTGTGGAAGGGTTAAAACATCAAAGATAGGGGTAATCATGAGCAATAGCTTTAGAAAACTAGCTATTGTTAATAGTTAAGTAGACGTGTTCTCAGTCGTTTTGGGTGAAAAGATCTTTTCTTTGCTCGTTCAAAAATTTTTTTTTACAGCGTATGGAGGCCGTTGCCAAACAATTTGAACGAAGCGTCTTTTAAAAAACTCAACATATGTGCAACATAAATTTCCGGTGGAGAATAAACAAAGCCATTTAACTTTCAGGAACATTTTCCTTTTGGGCCAGGGAGATAAAACGTATTTACTGGGGACGATTGATGCGTTTGGCTAGTGACTGTGGTCGTTCCTTTAATAATCATTATACTCATGTGCTCCGCTGGCCCAAGGCCGGTTCCCTTCCGTCCAGTTTTCCCGAAAGATTCCTTTTTATTTAATGCGAATCCAAAAGCGATTTTTTATTTTATTTTATAAAACGATTTTATTACTTTATGAACTGATCCAGGTAAAATTGAGAAAAAAAAAACTATAAAACAAGTCAAGAATGGCTTATTTTATACCTGTTCTCATGTGTTCCATGTTATATATCAAATTTAGGGTTCAATTTACAAGAACATTCTCAATCTATTACAATTAATTAAGGTTTTTAGTTGAGATAAAAAAGTCAGTGGCACGAGCGGGATTCGAACCCACGATCTTCGGCTAGATACGCCGCTGCTCTACCTACCACTTGAGCTATCGTGACCTGGATCCACTCGGACATCAACTTCCTATCTCAACCCCACCTTTTGAGTTCAAGTATGAGATAAGAAGTTGGTGTCTGAGTGGATCGAAGTCACGATAGCTCAAGTGGTAGAGGAGCGACGTATCAAGCCGAAGATCGTGGGTTCGAATCCCGCTCGTACCATTGTCTTTTTTATCTCAACTAAAAACCTTAATTAATTGTAATATATTAATTGGTCAAGCGGACCATGAAATTAGAGAATTTAAGGAATTTTCAATCTAATTGAACCTATCATAATTATGTTAAGAAAATTAAGATCGTGAATAATAATTACATTGTAATTAAACAGAAATAATTTTTTTTTATTTTAAAAATAGCTGACGATCGGCTCACCGGAGGGATGTATAACAAGAAAGATACAAGACTGTCTTTACGGAACAATTAAACGAAGAGACCTTGGCTTAAATTGCCTCTTAATATTTTGTTTTTCTTGTGGGGAAAAAGTTCAATGTCACAACGGTTCGGGACTCTAATTTTTCAATGGCGAGGGAAGAAAATAACAATTTAAAGGAAATTAGTCACCGGTTCGCACGGGCCTGTTGTCTTTTTCAGCCGGTTTCTCACCGGGATCGTAAATCTTCCCCCTTTCCAGAACCCCTGGCTTTGACAATTGTTCAAGATATATCTTTAAAACATCGCATAGAATCATTTGGTTTTGAACTGTTAAAGAACTAACACTAACCCCAGCGCTTCACCCTGAGGAAACATGAGAAACCAGGCACTCAGTGTGAGGTATTAAGCGGCAAGGAGGTCTCGATGCCTCTCGGGATCTCAATGTATACAGAGAGCTCAAGCAGTAAGGTTAAGATGGAGAGGTTGGTGTGAAAGTATTGGACATGGAAATGTATCAGTTCATTGTAGATAGGTGTAGTCAGTGGTGTAGAGCTTTGACGATTAGATTGAAATGCATGCGCTGGATACTGGATGAATTGGTAGAACCCCACAGTACTCCGTATGTCCGATGTGGTCTTGTATAGATTATTTTAGTCTCGACGGCCAAGACAGATTTCGCTTTTTGTACAAGATGGTTCTACATAAAAATTTGTAAAAAACAACACGTCTCACGATAAGAATTGTAGAGTACATCTCTCATCATTTCCAGGCTGATTTCGGTCCTAAAATCAAAGCTGGTACTCAGTGAGAGATTAAGAGGCAAGGCCTCTGGGATGTCAATGTGTAGAGAGAGCTCAAGCAGTAAGGTAAAGTTGGAGAGGTTGGAGTGAAAGTATTGGAATCGGGAAGGTATCAGTTCATAGTAAATAGTGACGTAGTTATATGGTGATGTAGAACTTTGACATAAGATAAGAGAGTACATCTCTCATCATTTCTAGGCAGATTTCAGTCCTGAAAGTCAATGCTGGTACTCAGTGTGAGAGAGGGGCAAAGAGGTCTCGAGGCCATTGTCGATTAAGGCGACGTGGCGCATCCTCGGGATGGGGATGTATACAGAGTGCGCGGCTATTAGGGTTAGGATTAATCGAGAGGTTGGTGTGAAACTTTTGGAATCGGGAACAGATCAATCCGTTGGCAAAAGGAATGTTGAGGTCGCTGTTGATAGATTAGTGATTTGTCTGAGGACTTTTGATCGGACGGATTGGTTGGATGGCTTGACAGAACCCCACAAGTCCTACTCTGTAAGCCCAAAGTGGTCCCAGTAAGGACTTGTATAAGGTTAGTTTAGTGTTGACGGTCATGCGGATATCGATCCTAGAAGTCTTCGTAGTTGTCCAAGTCTTTAGTTAAGCTCTCTTAAGTATTGTAAGGGGATGTTTTAAGTATCCGCCTTGGCTGAAAGTCTGTAGAATCTTGTTGATATTGTAATTATGCCCTGTGTATATTTTTTCTTATTCAGTGTTGTCCTCAACTTGCACCAGTCTTGGCTAAGCTCAAGATCTTTTTGGATGTTGGAGGTTGCTTAGATAGGATGCGAACCTACCAGGTGGTAGTGATGTTATTAGCGTGTAGGTCAGCAGTATAAGAGGTATAAAGGATGGGACCAAGAATGCTTCCTTGTGGGACTCCTGCTTGCATCTGACTTCCGTTCGTTGCCGAACCTCACTCTACACCAGTAGATAGGATTTCAGGATAAGTTAATAAGGAGTGAATATCAAAAGCAAGGAAAGATGAAATAGAAGGTGTTTTATACATAGCCGAATAAATTTTTGTACCATTGGCAATTTATGGACCATGGCAGGATGGCGGACCTGTTTGGTTCGACTGTCCTAGCCGATTCCTTCATCATTTTGCGGTTTGCACCATCGGGTTTGCATTATTGAACAAATAAAAAATCAAGGCAAAGTGTGATCGTAAAAGACTGCTACTTTCATACAAATATGCCATGAATACATTTATGTATAAAGATAAATGGATTGGACATAATTTTACTCATTAGAACCGAGTAGAAGTAATGCTCAAGAGACTCTTGCCATTATGTACTATGTGCATGATGATCTCGATGATCATTAGTTGATAGGCT